CGTGATACGCGGAAAAGTACTGGCACTAGTTGTCAAATAGAAATCCATTTTATGATTAAAACAACTGAATATCTCCTGTAATATACTTTATTTCGATTCCATATTTTTGTCAGAGCTATAGTTCTCATAACCAAACATAATTACAGAATTTCAACTAGTTTCATAAAGAATAACGAAAGATATGATTGACTGAATACATCAAAATGGATTTCAGTTCTATCCGGACAACCCTTTCTGAGCGCTGATTGGCTAAAATACGAACACGAGATCACCTGGGAGTTAACAGCTAATAGAATTGCTGGACCTATTCGAGAACCTCCTTTTCATAATTTTCGAGTTCCCCGTTGGGCGTTGTGCTACAGAAAACACCTGGGGAATTTCGTATAATCCACCATTTGTCTTTTCCTCAAGGGGCATCGATCAATGACGGTATTTCATCTGAGCATACTGTGGTGTGTTACAGTCGAGTTGACGATGCAATTTCTATGATCAAAAAGCTAAGAAAAGGTTGTTTTCTTGCGAAAACAGATATAAAAAATGCATTTCATATCATTTCTATATGCCCCCAGGATTATGATCGTCTGGGAATTTTTTGGCAAGGAGAATTCTATTATGACCGTGCCATGCCGATGGGATGTGCATCATCCTGTCGGACATTTGAAATGTTTAGCACTGCACTGACAAGACTGTCGGTCCTCGAACCACTTTGCCATTTGCCGGTATTGAATAAGACACTTTATAATATAGCGTTTGTAAATTCTGAACGCTGATTGGCTAAGAGCCGTGTTGATATAACTCAATGTCAACACGGGAAATTTTCCGCCGCTTGTAAACACGAAATTTTTCTTATCCTTCGGGCTTTTGACATTGCTATATTATAAAAAAAATATAAAACATTTTTTCCGTGTTGATATATAGTTATATCAACACTCGTGGAAGTTGGGAGAACTCGAAATTGTATGAAAACACTCCGCCCTTCGGGCGTCGTGTTTCCACACAATTTCTCGTTTTCCCAATTCCACTCGTGTTGATATAACTGTATATCAACACGGAAAATGTTTTATATTTGTTAAATATTATTTGAAGCACGTTTACCAGCGGATAAAATAACTAGCCTAAATCCAAAGCCCCCCTTTCGATTTTCTACAGCGCAAGAAAGCTACTTTAAATGAGGTACAGTCATTAATTGGCCTTCTTAATTTTGCTTGTTCTGTTGTTGTGCCAGGGCGGGCTTTTCTGCGTCGTTTTATAGATTTGAGCAAAGACATAGGGTGTGCGTCTCATTTTATCCGGCTTAGTAGATCTGTCAAAGCGGATTTGCGTATATGGAAATCATTTTTGGATGATTTCAATGGCCGATAGTTTTTTCGGGGGAATTTCTGGTCTAATTCTGTCCATTTAAATTTGTATATCGACTCTGCAGCTAGCTTGGGTTTTGGAGCTATATTTGGTCAGTTTTGGTGTTTCGATGAATGGCCTGAGCATTAGAAACATATAAATATTGTTATTTTGAAATTTTATCCCATTGTTTTGAGTGTGCTCATGTGTCACTTGATGCGGGGCTGCGCATTGACAGCCGTCTTCCTATTACATTACCTATTCTTTTGAATATCGACGAAGTCGTCCCTTTGAATATCGACGAAGTCGTCCCATCTGTCTTTGTGTTCTATGTCTACAATGCCCCTTTTATTTAAGGCCATGTGTACAACGGCATTTTTTGCATTTTTAAGGGTTGGGGAAATTACTTACTGTCCCCGGTCTCCAGCGGTTCTTCAAGTAAAACAGGTGGTCAAACTTGAGGATCTGTCTGGCGCTATCGTTGGCTTTAAGATTAAATTCGTTGATTTTAAGCATTCCTATAACCATCCGAGTATGGGGCGTTGGAAATCTGACGCATTCCGAAAGTACATTCGCATGTCAAACATAACTACGAGTAGTTTGAGAAGTTAATAATCTTATGCGAATAGGGATCGATATGGCTGCATAATTTGACCATGTAGCTGACGCATTATTTACCAGTGTTTTAAGTCGCACATTTCTATTTGATACGCGGTACTGGTATGGTTCTGTTTCCATGCCGTTTCGCTGAAGCAGGGGCAAGGCGTATACGGTCGGTTCAGTTCCTTACTTTTACTAAATTGGCATTGCAAATAAAAACAATTTATTAAAATGTGCATTTCGATAGCGTTATCAGTTGATTTACCACCTACTTTGTTAGGTTGAGTTTGGCTTTTTGCAGTTCTGGTCGGGTGGGGGTGCCTCCTACCCAAGGAGGCTTGTGGCGGGAGAATGCCCCCACCTTTTCTGTGAGAACTGTTATTGTCATTTATGGAAATTAATATTCATTTTGGATTAATTAATAAATCGGCGTGTGCTCACGCACATAGCCATTATTTTCCCAAATGGGTGTAATTGTTTTATTGTTTTGTATCCACAGAAAACGGAGCTCGTCAGTACTGCAAAATTGCCGCTAAGGGGAGTGCATGGGTAGTATTGTCCATTTAAGGGAAAGCGATAAATTTAATTTGACGCTTTTTCCTTGATTTAAATGACAAAAATCGTACGCAACTTGATAATACCCAAGACAGTATCTTTAGCCACTACTTTCCAATGAAGTCGAGTTTTAACGTTTATAGTTTTAATGCAAAATTTTAAACAATTTTACGGAGCGCCGAGCGTGCGTGTACACGCGCACGCACGATCACGAATCAAAGTCTTCAGTAAACTTTTAAATTTTGAATAACTTCCTTCATTTCGCACATTATACGGCAGTTCATTCCAGATTTTAGGTGCCTCTGTCAAAAGGCACGATTAATGTCTTTTTTGTTCTAGCTCTTGGCAGTTGTAAGCACAATCCATTGTTATTCGATCTAAGATTATATCCTCTGAATTCCTTACATGTAAGACTAACAATCTCTCTTCGATAAGAAGGAGCAAATCCATGAATTGTTTTAAATGTAATAACTGAAAATATAACAAATAATGTAATAACTGAAAATAACTGTTTTAAATGCAATAACTTCAAAATGGACTAACATGTAAATACTCCTTGGATATAAAGCATGAGGTGTATGTAAGTTTTTTATTAATACAGTGTCTCATATATTAAACTGTTGAAGTTACCTTCAGAATTCAGTGTATGTTCTCACACAATACCAAACTTGAACTGATAGAATTACAGTCAGAATGATGAGAGGGGGGGATTGGGGCATTTGGCCATCAATTTTTTGTATATGTGGGGCATTTGAACAGCATTTTTGTCCCGGGAGTGGGAAATGTGACCACAAAATTTCAAAAATTTCAAATGCCCAGGGGTATGCCGGGGGGATGATGTTAACAGTATGAATTGATTGGCACATAACCCCTCAGAAATTCTCGTCCATAGGGGGGGGGGGGGGGGTTACAAGTGGCTATTAAATGGAATGGCCCGGGGCAATTGGCAAATAGCAACTGTGGCTCAGACTGAGAGCCTCAGACCTTTTCAGCAAAATTGCCAAATGTATTAAAACATATACACCTGTATGTTCATGCACCTGGTCTTGTAAATATGTTGCGTCACTGAATGACATACCGATTGGCATTTTATGTGCTATTTAAATTGTTGCAAGTTGCACGAGGTTCTTACGTTATGTAGGTAAAATGTCGATGTCTGACAGTGGTAGC